CGTTTCCAGATTCCTACCACTTTGATACCATTGTTAATCTTAACATTGATGGTATGTTTTTAAACGCAAACATTCATTTGATAAGAGAGGACTATCAAAGTTGTAAATTATAACATTAGTCAACCTTTTTTTAAACCCAGTGTACCCGAGGCTCTTTGTGCAGACTGCAGAGGCGCACACCCCTGCAGATTTCGTCGATTTCAGGTGCCGTCGGCACCATAAAAATTAAAAGCAAACATAAATTTTTTCCGGAAAAAAAATTAAACATGGCTTCAAATCCAAATTTGAACCAGAGATTTTTCACTTCCTCTCGATAAACTTAATTTTCAACCCAAAAATTAAGTCTCAAAGGGGTAAATTACTCAGGTCAGGATTGTAGGCAATGTTTATGCCAAACCATACATTTTTGTAAATTCATTAAACTTTCAATTTAGCCTAAAACACCCTATTTCGCAAAATTTTTCCGGGGGACTGTGCCCCCCTAGCCCCCGCCAATGTGGTCCGCCCCTTACCTGGACCCCGCTGGAGGCCGCGCCCCCAGACCCCTGCCACAGCTTGCAGCTTCGTTCGCCGACAGCCCCCCCCCCCCCAAGAAAAATCCTGGCTACGTGCCTGAGCAAAATATAGGCTAAGGGCTTTTCAGATGATTTGGCTCCTCAACAGATACCGACGTACATAACGGTCAATATGTAGTTTAGGTTTACCTGGCCCGTAGGTTACGAATGTGCCCGAGGAGGAAAAAAAAGCAAACTTAAGAAAATTTCTCGGGAACTTAAAAGTTCACCTCAAAACGAAATCTGCACCTATGGTCAGGCGCAGGCTCCTTGTAAAGTTCAATTTTACATGTCCGCTATTTAAACGAAGAGTAAATTATAAAAATCTCTCAAAATATACGATGAATAAAACACAATATTGCAAAATAAGGCATAACAAATCCAACACCTTCAGATAGTATCAAGTGCAGTGGACTACCAGAATCCTGGTATCACGTGACTACAGACCACGTGTTCCCAGTGGAGCAGAGTACCGTGATACCGCTGTCATGTGATCTGGCCTACTCTCCACGTGGTGATAATAGTGTCACGTGTGTGGGGGATACTCGATACTTCTTTAATGAACAACCAGGTTGTCTCTATAATTTAGGTGGGTGTTATAGAACTGTATTATAGATATGTAATTGTATAATACTACTAGTATTATCAATTGATGTTAAAGTTTAGAAGATTGAGATAATAAACTGTACTGAGAAGTATGTTAAGTTACATCCGTTTGTTTTAAAATCAGTGGCATAATTTTTCAAACAACATGTAATAGGGACTTGTTGTTTGTGAAATAATGTCTCTGCATTATATGAAAATCATCCACCTAGTTTTTGATATTCACAAAACTTTCAGCAGCAGTAGTCTTTCTCTTCGCATAATTCACACCCAGTTTAATGGACGTCCCCTAAAAGAATCGTTTAAAATTTCTTAGTCCTCACTAGAAAGCAAGGATAATTGAGTTACTCCGATATAATTGGTGCAATTATTCACGCCACTGTTAATTTAGGAAACGTCGAACAAAACATTATAGCTGTTATAATATTCCCCAATAAATGGATTTAGAAGGAAAACACGTGTTATTACCAGTGAAGATGATCTAGCAGAGATCCTAATTATTAATTAAATAAGGAAATGACCCTCGTGGAGGCAGACCGGACAGCCATGTGCATTAAATGCGCAAGGTTACCAAGGTTACCAGGATAACGGAGCGCCAACCAGAAATTAATCCAGGAATAATATATCAGGTTAGTTTGTGCTCTGTGGATTATTTCGTTAAGAGTTTGAAGTTCATTAATTGTATAAGTCTCTAATCTTGTTAGTGTGTCTGGATGTCATGGCTATGGTCATGTAAATGCATCTTAAGTTTCGACTAAAAAAGCAGAAGTTTTATACCTTTTTATTAAACCGATCAACTAGCAATTTTGTATCTTGAGAATAATATTGTTTTTACTTTTCCACCTGGCGCGATCAATTATTTACTTCTAGTTTTGAAATTATCTAACTTGAATTCGTTTTGGCAAAAATAATTCAGAAACATCTACAGCATGATCTCGTCTTGATAATTACTCAGTAAGTTAAAGCAGAATGGATATAAAGTGGGTACTTTCAGCACTTGTGAGCCTCTTCTGCATCGCTGACACTGGTAATAGAGTCTATTTAGTACATACTACACATATTATGACGTGACAATCAATGTTTGCACCGTTAGAAATATTATGTCGAATTTAGCTCCCTCAAGATTTGATCATTCAAAAAACAACTATAACTTATTATTTATCCAATACAAAGTTGAAAAGAGAATCAGCGCAAGATTTTTTTCATCGTAACAGAACTTAATCTTCATGATTATGATTGATCGATAAGTTTCCCTGTTACAATTTCATCAGGATTGGTTGCAATAAAAGCGGTGACGGCATCACAGGAATCAACTTTTGATGGGTATATAGCAGAAAACTGCATAGATGGAAACGTAAACATCTTAGTGGTGAACTCCTCCACTGGTAAGCAGACTCTATGTGGTGTGTTGCGGACAAGAGATGGTGAAGACCAGAACTATGATATTGAGTGCGGAGAATATGTGTGCGCGAACAGGGTTAAATTCAGTGTTATTCGGGCCGAGAATGAGTATGAAGGAATGATCGCTATGAGAGAAATTACTGCTTACTACTCAACCGGTAAGTGAAAATAATGTTTAAGTTTCTCTCTATACTAGAATAATGCCATGTTGAAGTGTTGAGAGCAATTTTTAACAGTTTCAAAAAATTCTTGCCAAAATTACGTAAAACGGCGCATTCGGCGTATAACTATAAACAGGTTCACGCCGTGTACGCGCTGTTTGAAAAAATAATGTATCGTATTTTAACCACGGCACGGCGATAAATATATAATTAAAATAATATAGAGATTGTTGCTAAACAAAAAAATGATAATCAGAATATCAGATTGCAATGTTAATAGGTGTAAACTGTAATTTTGTAAACAACATGTTTAGGGGACATTCTGTTTATAAAATAGCCAAGTTTATATACTACTTTTTTTCCTCATGGACACGTTCAAAAAAAGGTGGCACTAGAGATTGATTTTTTTAAATGCGTTTTAAAAATAGTCATTGTTCTTTGTTGGTTGATATATATCTATCTATACCTTTAGAAATTCGATTAAATTTCATGATCCTGAAATCACGGAGTCTCTAGTGCTTATATCACAGAAGTTATCGTTATTTGTGTGCCAATGATTCAAATATCACACAATTAGAAATGCAAGATGAATCAACACTAGATAATCTGAAAAGTACTATTCACAAAGACGCCAAAATTGATATGGTGATTATAATGCATGTAAGGAATGGAATGTCTTATAATCTGAAATTGTTATTGGTGCCAAAATGATTCAAAAATCACAACTTAAACGTTGGAAATGAGCCTATTTTGAACAGTGATTATTGAATCATCTTACGTTTTTATTGGCTTTCTATCATTTTTTAGGGTACAAAATAGTATTAAATAGTATTAAAACCAGTTAATATGATTCAAAAATCACATTTTCGTTAAAGGTGCGCTATTAAGTCACACTATAGTAAGCCTTAAATTAAGTGCACGATATGACAATTCATATCCATTCTATGATTCTTATTATGTGATTTTTGAATCCATGTCTAAGCTTATACCATATTGAAGGCCTTTGAGCGATAATTTTTGATCTCGGTGCTTAAATGATTCAAAAATCACACAAATCTGGCTACCAAATATGTAATTTCCTTTAAAGTGTGATAATTGAATCATACGTAATGTTCAAGTTGTAATGACATTTTGAAAGTAAAGGTAATGAATCGATAATCACATTTCAAAAATCCGATTAAGTATTATATGTTACTGATATGATTCATTTGTCACATTATGGCGACAAAATTATCATGGCTTGAGCTGTAAAAGTACTTGCCTAGTTTACCCTGTTTAAAATCAGTGTTTGTGATTATTGATTCCACTATTACTCTAATAACGAACTTCTCCATGACCATAAACAAGTGTCACAACAAATCACTGCAGATTTACTATGAATACCAACCTGATATAGAGCCAAAAAGTGATAGATTCCCCTGATACAGCATCATTACAATACATGCTCATTTATGTGATTTTTGACTCATTATTGCACTTTTAACCGTCTAAATTCTCTAAATATTAGTTAGCATGCTATAATTGTGATTGATAGAGTTCATTGTTACAATCGTTCCGTTGATATTCATATCACATTCATCATTCTAAAACACTTAGTCAGAATTAACCCTGTGTGTGATAATTGCATCGTAACTCCACATTTAACCGGTGATTCTTTGCACTTTTAACACTCAACTATCTCAAAAAGGTTCAATAATCACATTGAGAAGCAGGACACACTCACAGAATGTAAATTCATCATTAGAGGTGCAAGAAATGAATATTTTGTGATTTCTGGCTCATATCTGAACAATTAACAGATATAAAGAGATGAATGACTTAATTATGTGATATTTGAATCTTTTTGGACCACATATTAAAACTTGGTTAACTTTCATAGCATACTCCTTGAGATACAAGTATTTTAAAATGCTTCACACAATTTTGGCAGTGAAAAATCAATCTCTAGTGCCACCTTTTTATGAACGTGTCCTCATCATCATGTCAAGTAATAGCAGATTGATAAGCTTGAAGAATAAGGCCAATTAACAAACACTAAACACTGATAACCTCTCTATAACGAGCGCAGTCAAGTCAAAAACTTATCCAGGGGTGGTCGGGACCTTTTCTTCAACATGTTTATAATTTATATCCGGTTCAGAACCGATCTAGAGCCACTCACCAGTCACCACTGTAAATGTTGTGACCGTTCTAAGAGCCGGAAGTGAGACTCAAAATAAAATAGATGTGACTTTTAAAATTACTTAAACGAAATATCAAGCAATTTAGAAGTTTAGTTTACCTCAGGACTGTTGAGTTTCAGTCGGCACTCGTAACAGAAGGTTTTAGCGAACTCTTGTTCGTCTTTGATAGCATCACTCACTGTCATTTCTGAAGAAAATAGTTTACTGTTAAATCTGTGAAAATCTGTTAGACTATTTAGAGGTTCTGAAAATTTCCATTTCCTCATCCAGTTGAATAAAGTTTTAATCTTTCTCACCTCAATTTTTTTTGCTAATTTCGTTGGCCGCCCCAAGAAAGCAGGTTTTTTTTTGTTTGTTAAAATTGATAAAATTGATAAAAATTTGTGTCCGAAGATGAGGTCCTCGGGCTCTGGCCATTCGAGGTGGCCAGTGAGTCAGTCACCTTAATTGGTGCGCTGACTACTGCTGTTGGCTGGTCGCAGCGTGACAGTAGTGGTCATAGTATTGAGTTTGCAGCCATTCCCACTTAAGTAGATATGGCCAGCCTCACCAACGTCCACGTACACTGTCGGGCTGCAGCCCCCCTTGTTAATGGACACAAAGTTCAACGAGTTAGCGGGCAAGTCCGGATTCTGCCGTTGGAGAAACTTCAAACAATTTGCCCACCAGTGAGGTTAGTGAGGTATCCGGGCCCTCCGAATGCGTAACGTCGCCACGTGGGTCCAGTGACGACCCTGAGATCTTCCCTGTCTCCAAGCAGCTCTGTCACTACGCTCTGGGAGGCCCTGTCATCGCACACCAGGACAACCTGATCCCTGACTATCCGGCTATCTCTAAGTGAGATTGACACGGATGTCGAGGTCATTTCCGCGATCCGCGACGCCAGGAACCTCATGAGATCCCGGCGTGCCTCTTCCGTAGGTGAGCCCGAGTTCAGAGCTACCTGAACATTAAACGACGGGCCCGGCCTGCAGGTTCTGGATGGTTGGTGGGTGGCGGTGGGTGCAGTGCTTGACCACTGTGCATTGTGGTTAGCAGCTGCTTTTTTAGCTTTGTTTTTTGCCTGTGTTGAGTGTGTTTTCTGGTTGCGGCGGGCTGTGGCCTCTTTAGACCGCTTGACCCGGGGGCGCTTAGTGTGGGGCTTTTTTCGGTCTCCCCCGGACATTTCCGCATTTATCTCCCCCTTAACCACTGCAGTGGAGGGAGTTACTGAGATGGGCATGGTAAACATATCGTATCTAATTGCATCCAAGATACCATAATTAATATTATGATCTGTTTACCATCATGTCATAATTAGTCGGGCTTCTTGGATACTGCCTAGATCCCTAATGATACTACCTAGATCCCTAATGCTATGATAATATTGATAAACACTATAAGTTTAAAATCAATAATAAGAGTGTGTAAAAAGAGGCGTACTGTTAGTAGGGAGGTGAGACCAGGATACCGGGTACGCCTTGGTTTGTTCTGCTCCGGTAACATCAGGGCGGGGTCCCATCTTCTGCAGAGGTGTGGGTTAGTCATTGTTATTTACCTAAGCTTACTATAGAATCAGGTTAGATCTATTGGAATTTTATAAAGATTTATAACGACAATTTGATCATGGTCTTATCTAAATATTGATTTTAAAGCTTTATAGTGTAAAATAGGGGCGGCTTACCAGACTAGTCCTACAAGGGCGTATCTGTGATAAACTCTGCCTGCTCACAAGTATTCTCACACTACACACTGCACTCACTCAGCCGTATAGCGACCAATAATCACAATAACGCACGGTAAACAGTATCGTACACGGGTTCAACAGGGTGGATACGATATTAAGTATCGTATGATTAGTTAAATAGGAAGATACGATTAGATATGTAGTATCGTGTAATGAGTTAAATACGAAGGTGCTAGTATCGTACAATAATGGAACCACAAACCTTCACAAGCAGTCAGTGCTGTAGAGTGTAGCCTGTAACGGGATTATAAATACGATAAAACGGGTATCGCTCTAAACTCTTATACACAATAAGATGCAGTATTACTTTTAATTTTATGGAATGACTATAATTTGAATCCTAAGTTAAGGATGTACAAAGGAAACAGAGAATTCGAACAATAAGTTTCGAAAGTAAACATAATATATATATATAAACTTTGAAACAATTACGCGCATATAAAAAATGCTCGTAACAAACAAATATTAAAAAAATCCCCGTGATATAAATCACGTGATCTCATAAATAAAATCCACAGGTTTCATTACACGACACGTGATACAACAAGAATTGCGCCCGTTGTTTCGTTTTGGCGGACGCTAGATTTCCATTTCACATTTACTATAAATTTAAGTATAACTATAAGCTCCAATCAGCTCACTTCAATCTTCATGATAATAATATTGATCAATTATGCATCAAATACGGGAAACACTTGAAATTCAGTTCAATTGCCGTAGAACTTAACTTGTATCTGTAATTCAAGAAATTATCAGCAAAGGTAAACTATTATATATTTGTAGCGCAATGCACTACTGGGTCGCGCGCGCGCATCAAATAATGGTTCTCGCAACCAACGCTTCTCGCAACCAACGCTTCTCTACCTTCGGTAGATCGGCGAGATGCACCACTGTGCCTCACCGAGCTGCGAAGGATTGACATCGTGAATCAATTATATATACTCGTGTACACATCAATACACTACGCGTGCCACGTACAAATTGGGTGTATTACCTAATAGTAATATTATACATTACATGCATCATATACACAGTCGCGCCGCGCATTCATAGATCACAGGCTATCTATACATCACATCTCCGCAAGCAATCCTCGCGCGCGCCCAACTTTTTCGTTGCATGGTAACGAACGAACACACGACATATTTAAACCCACCTATCTCGTTCTCCAAAATCCACGTTTTTCTGCAAAAACCTCCATTCGTAACCTTTCACTATTGCCTTTTTTCAAAAGGGTGAAAAGGAAAAAATTACACACTTGCTACCCTATACTCTCTCCTAAACTGTCCCTCCTAAACTGTCCCTCCTAAACTGTCCCTCCTAAACTGTCCCTCCTAAACTGTCCCTCCTAAACTGTCCCTTCCAAACTGTTCCTCCTAAACTGTCCCTCCTAAACTGTCCCTTCTAAACTGTCTCTGATGTTCTTTGACTGACGAAGATGTAGTACCGTCTCCTGCACTCTCCACCTGCTGTTGATCCTTCGACCTCCTTCAATACTCCCCAAGTTACTACTCCTACTACTTACTATGTCCTGTACACAAGGTACGAACCTCCAATTACTAACCATACTCAATATGTTCTGTACACAAGGTACGAACCTCCCATTACTAACCATACTCAAATTGTTCTGTACACAAGGTACGAACCTCCCATTACTAACCATACTCAAAATGTTCTGTACACAAGGTACGAACTTCTACTTACTCAAATACCTAAAACCGAGCGTGGAGAGTGCAGATTCTCGTCAGACCCAACATCCCTGATATTAGACTCTCCGGCGGTATCCTCTCTGCCTCCCTCGCCGTGTCCATAAGCTTGTTGATTTTTTGGACATACCATCCCAGGAACTTACTGTTTCCTCTCATATCTGATCTATAATGTCCGTACCCCTTACCCGGCATCATCTTCCCCTCTCCCACTAACTCCTCACACCTCGCTTTCACTCTCTCCGTCAGGTATACTCGCTGTCCCACCATCTGAGTCTGGATAAACTTCAAAATCTCCAACACATCCTCCTTTGTTCTCGCCTCTCTCATCATCTTCTCCATTCTCACTCTCGACACCGTCAACAGATCTTTTCCGTGCTTTATCACACTCTCCCTCCTAAACACCTCTACTCGAATGCTCTCGTTTGCCGTTTGCTCTTCCACTACCAAATTCGCATCATAAACGTCATGACAGAAACTTTCCACCTGCCTCTGGTCGTAGTAAGTGGGTGGTGGGGGAGGAGGTATTTCATGCTGGTTGGGATGGTATCCTCTCCGTTCGCTAACCTCCCTTTCTATCTCTCTTCTTTTTTCTCCCCTATTTGAGCTCCCTGCAGCAGCTGCCACAGGTTCCTGACATCCCTCTTCTTTCTTTTCTTCTCTGGCAGGACTTAAACTCACCTCCTGTAGTGAAATGTGTGGATTTTATTTATGAGATCACGTGATTTATATCACAGGGATTTTTTGGATATTTGTTTGTTACGAGCGTCGATTAAATCTTCATTCTTCCCGGGGGATATTATAGTCCCCCGATATAGTGATGTGTGGTAAAATGGTTACAGCAGTATATTAGCATAGTTATCATTTTAGAATATTCTAGTTAATAGTGGAAAAAACCATTTGGATGAGTGTAAGATTAGATAGGTTAGTGAAGATTTGTTGGTCAAAGTTTATATATTTTTACTTCCGAAACTTATTGTTCGAATTTTCTGTTTCCTTTGTACATCCCTAACTTAGAATTCAAATTATAGTCATTCGATCGAATTGAATGTAATACTGCACCTAATTGTGTATAAGAGTTTAGAGCGATACCCGTTTTATCGTATACATAATCCCGTTACAGCACTGACGCTGACTGCTTGTGAAGGTTTGTGGTTACATTATTGTACGATACTAGCACCTTCGTATTTAACTCATTACCCGATACTACATATTATACATATCGTATCTTCCAGCTTCCTATTTAACTAATCATACGATACTAAATATCGTATCCACCCTGTTGAACTAGTGTACGATACTGTTTACCGTGCGTTATTGTGATTATTGGTCGTGATACGGCTGTGTGAGTGCAGTGTGTAATCACAGGTACGCCCTTGTAGGACTGATCTGGTTGGCCGTCTCTATTTTACACTACATTACCTACGAACAACTAACAATTTCGGAAACATTACCCAACTTACGGAGGTAACAGCAAGATGAATCTCCCCGATCTGATGATTTGCTAGATCTAAGGAAGCAGTGAAGACAAGGTGGCACATTTCGCAGGGATGAACCTTTTTCTTCTTGCTAGTTAGCTTGTCCTTGACGTAGGCTGTGAATCTCTTCTTGTGCAGGTTCGTGTCTATGTGATCCAGGAACGGCTGCGTGAGGAAGGAATTTAGTTAATTAACCTAAATTTAATTAATTAATTAACCAATTAATTAATTTATTAATAAAATATTACATACAATCCAGGTTGTGAGCGTAATAATCTAATTAATAATGTTGTAATTAACTTCGGGTACATTTAAAGCTAAAACTATTGGACAAACAAGACTGGCATAGAGCCGAGGAACTAATTTTCATCAATGCTTGCCAGTGCAGGTATGTATTTAATGATATTTCAATGATGATCTAGCTAAGAATGCTTAAACAAAATGAAGATGCTAATATTGGAACTAATGAATTAGTCAATAATTTAAATCGACAATAGATAGAATAAATACAATAGAATTATTCTTGCAACAAAGACTATTTTGAAAATTTAATTGGAAGGTTTAATGATATAAGCCAAAACCTCATAATTTTTAAAGTTTCTAATTGTGTCGAAGACGAAAAAAAGGCCAAAAATGTTTAAAATGGCAATATTGAAAAAAAAGAATTATAAATTTCAAACATTAATGTCTCCTGAAAGTCTTTTGACCCTTTTTAGTGGGTTTCTTTATATTAAATAAATGCTACAGATAGGCTGTATTCTAAATAGTTTCGAAATTTTAATTAATTATGTGGTCCAAATTGTTTACAAAATAAATTAGTAAATATAACATAATAATATCCCAAACTCCTTTTACATGCTCAAATCGTTACTTACTTATATAGTTCGAAACAATCAACAAGATACATTACATTATATATGTTGCGATGATACATAACACTGCTAAGTGCTAACGTTTTATACTCTGAAAATCCGTTAAACTTTAACTGAAGGAAAACTCGGAAACTCGGAAACTAATCCGCATGAATAGAAGTAAAAACGGATCCATTAAAACGGACATACTAATATTTTCACCAGTTCCAGGTAAACGATAACTACAAACCTAAAGAAAGAACCCTAAACGATACACTACAAAACGACTAGAGCTTTAATTAAAGCGACGCAATATTCTGAACTAGATCAATCAGTTTCTGCCTCCTGAACTCCAACAAATGAAGGTGGATAAAAGGAGCAGCTTCCGACATCTTCTCCTTAGCAAACTCCTTAAAATGCACCAAATCAGTCCTGGTCTGATTGAAACAATTCCCGATCTGCACCCTCCTGCTGACCAAATCCTTTTGCAGCTTCTGTTTCTTCATATACGCAGAGCTCTCTTCAAAGCACATGTTTTTCAGTGCATCGAGCGTGTCCAGGCATGCCTGAATAAGCTTCTGTATCTCTTCCCAGGTTGTACTTCCCTCGAAATTGTTCCCGATCAGGGCTTGTGCCACATCAATGCTCTTCCGCATCTCATGACGAATGTTCTGAAGATCATCCCCCCATTTGTCCAGGTATTTGAACTTGTCAGGAGGTACTTGGTATGCCAGGTCTTGTAATGGCAGGATGTGTTGGAGGATGGCAATGCGCTGATCTTCTATTGCCCATCTGTAGGAAGGGTTCTGGGGAGGGAGAGGTCTGCCGTGGCTGTGAAGGGTGTTGATGATTCCGTTCACGTCGTCACCGATCAGTTGGAGTATGTCCCACAGTTCTTTCTCACGCACCTGAGTGACCAGCTCATTACAACCTCTTTTCTTCAAAAACGCTTTACCATCCTCCCATGTCTTCTTGTGAAGACTTTTAATCATTTCCAGACTCTCATCAGCATTTTCTGAGATGTCCTCCCATCCTGATGCCAAACTCGTCACCTCAAAACTCCACTTAAACTGCAGAATATCGACGGTCCGCTTTATTCCCGCCGTGTTTTCTTGCAGGTCCAAACCCCTTAGAGAGACCAAAACCTCCAGGTCAGACTCTTTGATCTCGTGCATGCCAGAGATAGTGTGTACCCAGACATGCCCCGGCTGGGTGATCCTATCCACATCTTCTTTTGGAGGGGAAACAAGCTGGGGGATGGGTTTTGGAGCCGGAGATGTGATACTTATTTCTACAGGACTTAGTGGACCAGATTGGGGTTCGTCCTGAAACATTGGGGGTGACTTTTAAGAACTAACAATACATTTAATGGAAATAAATGCAGCTTAAATTATTTAGCAACGATTTAAGAAATAACTACGAAATGTCGATTAAAAATCGATTTAAAATCTCAATTCTCAGCTAAAGATATTAAAAAGGTGATTGACATTTTTTTCAGGGGCTCGAACCATTTATGATCTATGTGTCAAGTAATGAAAACGCAAAAATAAATATAATTGTATCTAAATTGAAATTGATATTTTTAATTTAATTTAATCGTTATAAAACATTTACTTGACTATCGAAAAGCGAAAGAATAGAATTATAAAACGTTTAAAAACCAGATATTCAAAAATAAAAATTGGAACTACCGAAACTAATGAAATAGAGATGAGGACTTAAACTAAAATAGTATGACTAACGTTAAGAAATTTAAAACTTGAAAATGTGTAGTTAAAAAAGTTTTCAATATTTTGTTATTAAATGATAAATAATTTAATAGAACAACAATTTAAAAATGTACAGAAACTAAATGAAAATTATAAGAAGAAAAATTTATCAATTTGCGACCATTATTATTAGTATAGGTCAAACAGCAAAGTAACAACAAAAAATAACGTAAATGTAGTCAAAAGTCCGTACACAGTATGATGATTTTTTTTAAATGACAGCAAAAGCCAAAAATAAATGTTTTACAGCCTCAATTTATATATTTTAAAGAACCAAACAAATCATCATCAAAAAATAGCAAATTCATAAAAAACAACCCTTGATTTCTATCAAATAAAAGAATATCAAAACAAAAATCACAATAACAACATCAAGACAACGATAATAATAAATGTAGATAACAATATAGAACATTTAAAAACACCAAACCTTCTTAGTTTTGAAGTTCAGGTTGCAGGGCGTACATCTGAGAAGATTGCCCTGATCAACACCCACTCTCTTCTCCCTGTTTGGCATCGGGCCAGTCATTAGTTTCGGAGGTTCAGGAGCCGTTGCTGAGGGCAGGGGTAACATCTGGCGGGAATAGGGCTCAGTAAGTGGTCTAAACATATTAAACAAGAAAAAAGGGGAACATATTTTCTCGAAATATCCCAAAAACACAACCTTAATTAAATGGTATATCAGAAACGGGAAACCGGATATCCAATGTTATCAAACAATTGACAACTCACACCGACTCAGTTTTCAAAACACCTCAATAAATCCACCTACCCCTCCAGAAGTCAGCATGGGATTATACCCAGACACTACTCCGCTACTGGATACAGGTGGCATGTTAAACTGACGGGGAAGTCCGGGGAAAGAGGCGTACTGTTGGTACATTGTGGTTGGAACGCCTCCATCTGGTGAAATGTGGTTTTTTAGATCGAAATCATTGACATTAGATTGATTATAGTAATTCAGAAGAAATTCTATTCGTATCAACAAATCCAGTTTACAGTCAATATGACTAATGAATTTGTATAACCTTTCAAGTTCAATCAAAAATATATTGTAACTAATGTATTTAAAAGACTGTTAACCAGGTAAAAAACCAATTCTCCTTTCGATGATTTGGCCACAATCACTAAGACCAGTATTTCCAACTCACAATTAAGTAGAGGAGGAGGAGGCAAGGCCCCAGCAGGAGGAGGAAACGCCCCTGTGGGGGGAGGCAGTGCACCTGTAGGAATGGAAACAGGAATCTGACCATGCTGCTGTGTAAGCATGGTCTCAATCGGAGAGCTGTGGTGTTCCTCCACCAGCCTCTCCCCTGCTTTCAAAGTAGCTGCTAGCTTAGGGTACTTGTTTGTCATTATTCTCTTGATTGTGTCGTTGTCCAGGTCTGGTTTTTTGTCTCGTCTGCTGTCACGGTCTCGACTGCGACTGCGTTGGCGGCGGCTTCTGTGTCGGGAACTGCGTCGTTCTTTGGAGTGAGATCTTCTGGAGCTTCTTCTGATAAAATGGCATATTATGTTATTACATCTAAAATTCCAGGGAGTATTATATAATATTTCAATTATTAGAGTTACACTCTATAGTACACACATACAGGTCACAAGAATCAATCATACGCAATAAACATACACCGATATCCCAAAACATGGCAAACTACCATAATAATAATATCCGAAAAAAGGGAATACGAAACACTACATTTGATCAAACTTACTTTCTAGGAGATATAGACCTTGACCTCTTTTTGGAATCACTCCGTTTCATAGAAGTTGTTATCTTTAGTGGACTGACACTCTTATTATTCTGATCAGTCTTACCCACCAGGTCCAAACTCCCTGACAGTCCGTTCTCTTCTATCAACTGTTTAGCTACCTCACGGATGTGGTTCCTTAATAGTTCAGATACCTGGAATGTTTTTATTTAAGCTCAGCTTGATTCATTTAGAAACGTAATTGAAAATCTGAACATCCCAACATATCTAAAATTGTGATACCGATAGAAAACTGACAAATAAAAAACCTGAAGATTGCTGGCCCCAATCTCGGATTCCTCTGAAGTATTAGGTTTGTTGAGCAGGGGATTGGTTAAGCCTCCCAGACCCTTCATAGAGCTCAGGATGTTCTGAACTGCTGCTGTGCTGGGTGAGGCGGTGGCGCTGTCGGGGTGTTAAAAAGTTAGATTCAGAGATATATAAATCAATCACAATATTATACTATTATATTATAATAATCACTATGAGATGAAACTAATGTGAATCAGTTCAATCATTAAAGGATCAATGCTCGTGCTTTAGAGCTAGATATACTCAAATAACATAAATAACATAAAAACATAAATACCTGTGAGCTGGGGAAAGTCCCCTCATAGTCTGAACTGAGTCCTGATAAACGTGCCCACCACGTGACCTTTCATTCCTACTCCTCTCTCCCTCCTCTGGATACCGACTGGAATGACCATGACGACCTCTCTCCTCCGAGTGATGACCATGACGACCTCTCTCTTCAGCTCCTCTCCGATGGGCTCTGTCGTCAGAATGTCTGTCCTGGTGATGACGTTTCTCCTCTTGTTGGTGTCCGTGTTGCCTCTCCTCAGTATGTCTGGTCTCGGAATGTCTGGTCTCGGAATGTCTACCCTCAGGATGTCTGCTATCATGATGATGTCCACTTCGGCTCTCATGATGTCCGCTCCTACTATTATGATCAGGCACCATCGGGGGCACCAACACGTGCTGACCTACCCTCTCTTCGTGGAATCTTCTCTCTGCGGAGGTGTGGTGTTCTTCTCTGGGTCGGTCCCTGCTGTGGTGATCACTGTGATGACTGGAGCTCTCCAATTGCTCGTTAACGAATGATTGGAAGGGGGCGGGTTCTTTTACCACGTATCCCGGGTTGTAGGTGGGGGCAATGTTTGAGGACATTTCTTCTTCGTAGTATTGGACCGGCTCTTGAACTGAAAAAATTGGTTTTCAAAAATCAGATTAAAGGAGAATGAATCGAAGTACAATTTACAAACATAAAATCATAGAAGTAAAACGACTAATAAGCTAACCCGTGACACTTAAACCAACCTGGGGTTTCATCGAAAGGATCCCCATCAAATTCCTCAGAGTTATTCAAATCCCGCTGATGGCATGGGTACCCAGCCCGATTCTGACCACCACCTGGTACCATCTGATGTCCACCTGGTACCATCTGATGTCCACCTGGTACCATCTGGTGTCCACCTGGTACCATCTGATGTCCACTATGTCCCATCTGTCCTTGAGAAGAATAATGTCCATTGCCTTGAGACTGCTGCATAGAGGACTGATCATGTGGTGAGGACTGATAGTTAAACTGGGAGGGGGTGTGTTGGTTTGGTATGTTTTGTTGCTGGGATGACATTTGTTGGTGTTGGGGTTGGTGTTGGGGGGAGAACTGGGATGCGCTGAAGGGAACATCCCTCTGACTGAACTGTCCACTGTCACCTTTCATATGCTGTTCAGGGTTGTGGATGTACTTTCGTTCTCGAGGATTGTTGTAATTTTGGGGCTCTTGATATCCCTGGGCCTGTAAAGTCTATTGATTAAAGGATGGAGTTTGACAGAACAGCATTCTCAACTCGCATTTTTGCAAGTGCTCGAATCTTAAAACTTCGTAGCCAATAATTGAGACAGTTATTAAAATGAGAAGAATTTTGAATGAAGCACAGTCAACCTGACTTACATGAGAATTTGGACGTTCATAAGGTTCTAGGTTGAGAGTTATCTTGTTGGGAAGGGGGTGGCCCGGTTTAGGAAGTGTTCTAGAAGCTATGGCTTGGTTTAGTGAGTCTATAGAGTTCCTCGATACGCTGAAAATAATATAAATGTAGAGTAGAATGGAAAGGATATTGTAGTTATAGGAGAATTTTGTAATGGGGATGTTCTTGCTCAACTTAAGCTAGCCCATCCGTGCACTAGTACAACAATTCAAAATCAAGAACAAAGTGGTTACCAAGAAGCCAATAAAGCAAAAACCTGCAATCAATATTATTTACATGGATATATACATTTACTTACATATGATTCGTTGAGGAGGACGCAGGGAAAGCACCCATGTTCGGTCTGAAATGGAAAAATGGTGAGTTATAAATTCAAATGAGAGTGCAGCAGCTGATGATACTGGTCATGGCGTGTAGCGTAGTAAAGATCGTAACGTCTACGATAATGACAAAAAGCAGTATACACTGTTAAGTTTTAAAATTCACCATATTATTTACTGTATAATACAGATGGTACCTTGTGTCCTGGTAACCATGGTTACTGGTTACTTACCTGGAATGTAAAAGAGTGGTGCGTTTCCCGCCTAAGCTGGAGGGTTGTGAGGGAAACATTCGGTTTAAATGAGCGAACTATCGTGCTACGGAAAAAGAGATCTTGCCATCACCTAAAGGAACAATTTTTAAGTCAACAACGCAATTCTATTTTTACTGAAAGTGAAAGAACCAAGTAATTCCCTCATAGAGAGAATATTATCGCTCTCAATATTTGATGAAAGATTGTTCCCAGAAAAAGGAACCAATTAATGTTGTTCATGTTTGCATATTTTATCCGTTGCTATGTTGTTACTATGGTGTTACTATGTTGTTACTATGTTGTTACTATGTTGTTACTATGTTGTTACTATGTTGTTGCTATGTTGTTATGTTATAAACGGCTGATATTATAAAACGATCACTTTGTATTCTAATGAATAACACAAGTTCGAGCAAGAAGCCCTAAAATCCCAATCAATGGCGCCAACAGGCTTCAATGAGATTTGTACGCACATCTCAAACAAAAGTAGAAATTTGATTACATTAAAACGGCAATATAAGAAAAAAATGTTTTAAACATTTCAAACAAATAACTAAATAACGAGGAAGTAGTAGCCATGGATACATGGATGCTAATTTGAACTTAGCGTTTAATTGAAAACTAAGGTAAATCAAAATATTTCCGTGCATAATTATATCTACAATAATTAGATAAACTAGGTTATTTCTGTTACCTGCATTTTTTAGAAGAAGGATGGTAAACATTTTATTAAATAATTTAATAGTGCACGCAATAATTGTAATTTCCATAATTGTTCTATGATAAATCATTACATTTAAAAACACTATAATAAAATTCAAAAACAAATCGATTACAACAAATTCTAGTCTTACAGTTCATTTGCTAGAATCACTGACAGTCTCTTCCAAACTAGACTGTTCATTGTTCAATGGAATATTCATTCAACAGGTGCACTTAAATCCCATTCCAGTTCAAGGGTCATCTCTTTTTTATTCCCCCACTCCGACCAAACCATTTCACGTCCTCTTATAAAAGCTAAGACTGCTTCTTTCCTCTTGTCAAACTTACACAGAATCACCGTCGATTTTTCTACCACATAGCTGACCACAGTACATTTTCCAAACTTATGGAAATGGTTTTGCAGGACATCTTGATCAGAAAAGTTTACTATTTTTATGTTTTTGGGATAGGGGTTTGAAGGAACGAAATCATTTGGTTTAGATTGGGTTGGAACAGGTTGTGATTCTACTGTCTGTTCATCACCCCATTCCAGATCCAGGGTCATATCTTTTTTATTTCCCCACTCGTACCAAACCAATTCTCGTCCTTTTTCAAAGGCTAAGACTGCTTCTTTACTTTCCTCAAACTTACAAAGAATAAAATTCGAATTATTCACAACATAGCTGACCACAGTGCATTTTCCAAACTTAATGAAATGGTTTTGCAGGACATTTTGATCAGAAAAGTTGACTATCTTTATGTTTCTGGGAATGGGATTTGAAGAAGTGGGAACTGGCAGTTGAGATGGGGTTGGAACAGGCTGTGGTTCTGGTTGCGGTCCTAGCTGTGGTGGTTGTTCTACTGACAGGTCACCAGGCTCAGATGTAGTATTCAGAACATTAAAATTGACTGTAGTTACAAGATCAAGATGAGTCTTTTCAAGCTTCTTCAGCATGGCCATCAGGCGCTCTCTAGTATTAGCGTTCTTACATGACTCCAGCCGGGTGAGTAACACTTTCTGAATGTTGATGTTATTTGACATAAGCGTCTGACTCTTCATCATAAGTTTAGCTTTAACGATACCAGAAGGTTTCCAACGGAAACTCTTGTCAATTTTCTCTCTGGCATGTTCCTTTCTATGTGTTTTATAGGCAAGAATTTTTTGTCTGAGAGCTTTGAACTGTATCTTCCTTGTTTGTAGATCACCTGGAGCACACTCCAATTCGACTCCATCAGTATCTTCATTAATACAGGTCCGAGAAGTGGGATCAGGAAGAGGAAGCTTATCCATCCAAAATACTTTGAGATACTCAAGATTCAATACTTTATAAGCTCCATTAAAGCAGTTGATAGGATCAATATTATTGCAGTACATCACATAGGCAGTTGTCCGAAGGCCCAAATATCGTGGGATTATCTTGCATTGACCAAATGAAGTAAGCAATCTTAGATTTGACTCTATGTTTAACTCATAAGGAATACCTCGTAATACAAGATTTCTATGCAATCCCACAGTAGGTCTTAATGATCCTGTTATAATATATTCCATACCACTATTTGGGGGAGGCAGTATCTTGAAGCTGTGGGGTATAAGTCTTAATCCTGCTGGTGTGAAAAAGGGCGTGGTGACATCCATGTGTTGTGATGTACCAGTGTTAACATTCATTACATGCTGTGAAGCAACTGTGTTAACATTCATTTTAAGCTGTGAAGCACCAGTGCAAGTGTCAACATTTATTGCGTCATGCTGTGAAACAACTGTGATGACACCTAATCCAGTCTCCATAGAATGTAAAGAAGCTGTGCTGATAGATGTTGCTCCTCCTTTTTCTTCTCTGCACTAGCTTCGTCGGATTTTTTCATCGGATGAACTGTTTCATCGTCGATTATTACAATTGGTTTTATCACAATGACGTATTCATCATGAACTGAATCTTGGCTGACTGCCTCTAAATCAATTATTTCTATATCATTGGTACTGACTGGATCAAAACTTTTAGGTTTAGAGCTTAGTTTAAGCATTGGTTTTCTTTTTGGAGCAAATGACAGAGTCCTAGCAGTTGAGTTTCTGGATCCAGTTTCCTCAAGACTTGGAACAACTGCAGGAACATGCATCTCAAAATTGTTATGACTCCCTTGCATTTGTGACTTTGTGCTAGAAGTGGAAGGAATTGTCCTGGGAACATTGTTTCTTTTCACTAAGCCCCTGGATGGAATTTGGGGCTGTGTCAAAGCTGGAGGCTGTGTCAAATTGTTTCTTTTTACTGAGACCCTTGCTTGAGCTGGGGGCTGTGTCAAATGAGCTTGAACAGCAGCGAAACCAGCATCATTATCTGGTACTGGTAAAATCAGTCGCCAGAATTTTCGGGTGCTTGGCTGCTTTATGGAGAGGTTGCCAGGGGCCATCATAAATCTCAACGCACTTTTATGATCTTTGTATTCCACCAAAGCTATGTGCCTCATTTTCATAAAACGATAATGTAATTTCTCTACTGGACCGAACTTTTTAACTACATTCATCAGTGATTGTTGGTGGTTGAAATCGTACCGTAGATTGGTTATAATTACAGCTTTTTCTTCAGGATTTGATGGAATATCAGTACCAACAGTATAGTAGTTTCCACAGCGTAGTTGCAGACCAAAATCTCGTTCAGAAACAGGGTTAAATTGTTTCTTTGAGGTTTCCAAAGCCATTGGTGTTGACAAGGGGGATTTAGTGGCTGTTGTTCCTCCTAAATATTTGAAATATTTAAGGTTGGATTAGATTGCTAAAATCACAATACACGATCGAAAATCTCAGCGACAACTCAACAATAATCAACAATTATGTCAAATTATTTAAGATACCTGAATTATTAGCTGATGATAATGTAGGTTTATCGTTGTGTGCTTGTGGATAAGAACTTTGAGGAACAGCATCAGTAGAAGGCGCAATATCAAGGCCAGAGATGTTGTCAGTTGAACTTTTATTTTTCGTTTGATCTGTGATTTAAAAGTGTGTAACTCAAAAAGGCTGAACATACAATCACTGTTTGCTAGTACTATACTTCATTAATATATTATTATATAATATATATTATTTTCTGTTGCTGAAAAAAATGACCACAGAAAGTAATGTCTTACCAACCAAAATCATTGAAAGACGGGACAGATGGGAAGATGCTATCTACAAGAGCTGAATTGGTGAGTTCACTTTTCTTTTTAGGATCCACTGTGAAAATATCATTTAAGAATTCTAGGAATTATCAGAATGTGGTCTTCAGTCATTCATAAACGTTTTTATGTATTAAATCCAATTAGTACCCATTCTAGGAAAGCAAGAATGGGCCAAATAAACTGGTTTCTGATGGAAAATTAAACACGGATCTTGGAGCATTTAAATAAATTACTAAATGACGTGAGAAGCTTTTTTTGGGACACCCTGTATTATATTAAGGGGGCAGGGGGGGTCTTCTCTCGAAATTGATTTTATAGTTGTTTCTGATAGAGGGGAGTGATATCTACCAGATGTTTTTGGTCCCATGGAAAAATTTTGTTCCTAGCCGAAATTATTGCCGGTCAAAGGGTAGCGCTCATGTGTAATTGTATTGCGCGAGCGATTTCAATCGCACGCCCTGAAAATCGAGTCTAAAAATCTATCTTCTCCTACATTTTTTGAGCAATCACCTTGAAACTTTCAGGATATGTTCTAAGGACCATTTAGAAACTTCTGGTCTCTCAGAATTTTAAAATAGACCTTAAGGCCCCGTGACACCGGGCCCTGGACATTGCGCTTTGACGCAAAAAAGATGCCTGCTTAAGCTCAAAAGATGCATTTCTACGCTAAAATTTCTTAAAAAACCCGAGTCGTGAACGTGCATCTATCGATTCTTTACTCGCATCTTTTGGAGTTAGTCTTAACGCCAAAAGATGCGCTTTAAACCGAAAGCTAGAATCGTAATTCGTGTCGTTAACTCGTTTTAATACTTTCAACACTACTATATAACAAATAATTGGAGGATGTAGACCGAGCCTTCGAGCCGCAATCAATGTCTGAGTAAAAGAATGATCACTGGGGGATGATGCGAAGGTGTCCAAAGGGATGTTGCTGCCGGCGATGATGCTCCAACTGAAGATGAGTAGATTATGAAATTCCACATCACAACACATACCAACATCCTCTCATAAAATGCCCCTCCCTAAAAGCTCCTGACATTGATTGCTGGCTTCTGGCTGGTCTCTTCCTTAAATTATTTGTTGTGTGTAAAGTGTTAACTTTATTTAACTAAACTACATGTATCTTTGTGTCAGTGGTCTATTGGATAGTCATTATATAATACAAGTTTCTTACCCAAATTCAAACAGATTTTGATATATATTTACCTTTCATAACTTGTATTATTGTATGACCATAACCAAATTATTTGATTGTTGTGGCTTATTTTACTCTAAATCCCTTTGTGGCAAGCTCGTCGACTACAATTTATATTTACTCTACCAGCTTTCCACAATGTCTCCTTACCTAGGAATCCCACAATTCCCTTTACCCAACCCTAGCCCACCCTCTAACCCATAAAGAAATTCCAAACGATACATATGCTTCATCAAACCATTAAATCCAATCAACAACATCCACCACTTCACCTACCCAACCATCCACCCTTAAAGCAACTTATTGTTATATCATGTTTCAATCGAAATCAATTCTTCTTTATGGTATATCTAATGAAAAAACTAGTTACTAAATAGTTCTAAGTAATCAATGTTCCCTTTTTCCATTATAAATCAGACGTCCACCCATGATCTACTCATTTCAGGTGCAGCTTATTCGCCGGTGGTGGCAGCCCAGAGGGCACTCAGCACATCCCCCTGATCAATCCACAGTCATGAACAGAACTGCAACACCACCACTCGAAACCAGACGCTCGCCCAGAAACAACTCTCCTGCAGCATCTGCTAAGGCTAAGGCTACCTCACCTCATTCCCCTAAAGTGTCTAATCCTCTTCGCAGGAAGAGCCCCCTCACAAGCAAGGCCAATCAGAAGAACCCTGCAGCCAGCATCTCAGGACGACGAAGATCAAACAGCCTGCCAACTAAGTCAGCTGATAAGCAGGTCACTGTTTCCTCACCGGGACTATCAACATTACAGCCACCTACATCTCTTACCCTAAAAATTAGTCCTAGCCTCATAATAGACCCTGGCAGCCTAAGGGGTAGTCCTCAGAGCCCTATGAGTCCTATGTACAAACCGTTCCCACCCTTCCATACTGAAGAAGAAGAAAAAGATCAGCCAAGTCCAAAGCAACGTGCCATTAAAGGTAACTGTCCCTGTCGAGCAAGCTCTGAGGGCAAAGAATGGCTTCTCAAATGTTGCAGGTGCTCTCAGCATTGGCACGCCTCTTGCAGTAACCTTAAGGGAGCAAACCAGATTGGTCAGATTGATCTTGATGCCATCCTTCAGTACTGGGAATGTCCATGGTGCTTCACGTCAATCCATTCCAAGCCAAACAGCAGCACCTCAGCTAAATTGGATGAAGCTCTCAAGTCTAGTGTTGACTACAGTAAGAACATCCAAGCTGTATCTGATGCCATCTCAAGTGCTGTATCCTACAGCATGCCTACCGTGGAGATTTCATCGTTGGAAGCAAGACTTTCGCAACTGAGTGGAGAGATCCACTCCTTCCAGAAATCTAGGAATCATTCCACCTCTGCCTATGCTGCAGCAGTTATACAAGAGAGTAAACCATCAGTAGCTCTCCCTAAATGTGTAAGGGTGCCGTTAAAGGACTACCAAGTAGACATCTTGGACGAAGAACTGCTTGACGAGGTATCCAGATTTCTCACTGAGTGCAAAGAATCTGGTAAGTTTAACCAGATGAATGGAAGGTCAGTGCTCAAATACGGCGAAAGCTACACTTATTCCGGAGACTCAAATCCCCCGTCCTCACCAGCTATCCCACCAGTATTATCAGCAGCCATTGATAGAGTCACTTCTCAGTGTAAACTCACGCACAAGCCTAACTCTGTACTTATAAACTACTTCCCTCCAAGTGGTACAGAGGAAAGTATGTTACCCTTCCACTGTGACGACGAGCCAGAGATTCTTGCTGGCTCTGATATAGCAACAATTTCCATAGGAGAAGTTAGAAAAATAAGTTTTATGCCCATCCATGAAGGACAATCACCTACAAAAAATACTGAAATGTCCCTAGAATCGAACTCAGTCTACACCATGACACGTTTCTCACAGGCATGGTTCAAACACGGGATTAAACCCACCCAACAGACTCCGGTAAACCCGTCTATGGGCCGGTATTCCATTACCCTTAGAGCAATTGACAAAAAATTTAGGAGAAGCACCATCATACTTGGAGATTCGAACACCAAAACAATAAAGTTTGGTAGTGGTGCTGGAACAATGGGTCAATCATTCCCGGGTGAAAGAGTTAAGGCAAGCAAAGTTAGTTTGATTGACCCCTGTCACTGTATCGGATACAGTAACGCTGTTCTTGTTTGTGGTACAAATGACCTCCGAGCAGACAGCCTTAGAGGAGAAAATTCAATCCATCAGCTGGTTGACATTCTCCACATGAAAATCCAACAGATAAAAAAGCTCTCCCCTAGGATCAAAGTTTTTGTAGCAGCAGTCCTTCCAACCAGGCTACCTCAAATGAACGAGAATATCATGACCTTCAATCGGCTTGTTGGAGAAATGTTGAGTGCCAACTTTAACCAGAGTGTGTGGCACCTTGGAGTTGGACACTTTTTAGATAGCAAGGGACTCCTTGCCACCAACCTGACCAGAGGTGGTGATGATATTCACTTAGGAGTTTATGGTATTACCAAATTTGTGAGGTGTGTGAAGCATTGGGTGTATGTGAGAGAGAGGCAAGAACGGACAAGACGTGGAAAACACAACCAGTCAGTGGGGTCTAACAACCCCACTTAGTAAAAATGATTATGAAAATTATTAAAGATGTGTGTGAGCCATGCAGTAGATCTATTAATATCGGACAACCTTTACTAGAGTGTGAAAACTGTAGTAATGCCATTCATACTAAGTGTTTCAAATCAGCTAAATATTCATGCAAAAATGGACTATGGATGTGCTGCGAGTGTGCCAGTTCTGCAGAAGAACGGTACTGCCCATTTCCATCTGATGAGGAATCTATTGATTCTGATAGATTCTATGATAATAGAAACCAGGAGGATGCCTTAATTGCATCATATGCCCATGTACTTGAAAGTTGCCGTCGCTACTCTAAACTCGAGTTCTTAAATGCAATCAAGCAGCTCAATTCCTCAAAAAAATCTATGTTATCAACTTTATTCTACAATATAGATGGAAACGCATCTAACTTTGATAGCTTCCTAATTGAACTCAAAAGTATAGGGCACTCGTTTGATATGATTGGTCTTGCTGAAACCAATACTGATCCTGCACAGCAGGGTCTGTACCAAATTCCAGCATACACTGGATTCTATCAAGAAACATTGGCAGGTAAGAAAAAAGGCACAGGTGTTGCACTCTATGTATCTGACCATTTAAACACTGTGGTCTTAGAAAATGTATCACACTGTACTACAAATATTGAGAGTCTCTTTGTTGAAACCACAGATAGCGCAGGCTGCAAAATTGTTCATGGAGTCATCTACCGACCCCCTAATGGCTGCTTTGATAGCTTTTGTGAAACCATTGAATTACTTGCAAAGCAGCTAAATGGGAAAACTGTCAATTTGTTGGGAGACTTTAACTCAAACATACTTAATATATCTACCAGTTCCCAGCTCTTTGAGGATACTTTATACAGAAATGGCTTTTACCCGACTATCTCCATTGCAACACATTTTCGTCAAAACTGTAAAAGTTCCTGCATCGATAACATTTTAACAAATAAAATTGAGAATATAGTCTTATCAGGTGTTATTGAAGAACGGCTTGGTGAGCATGCCCCTATATTTACCTTCACTTCAGTAGAGACCCCTCGCAATACAGAGCCTCAGAAACATGTCCGCTATTATGATTACTCAAGTTCCAAATTAAAAAGCTTTGTATCTGAACTTGAGGTGAGGGTAAACCAGCTCACTCCTTCAACAAAATTTGATGAGTTCACGGCATGTTTTGACCAGACACTTGACAAACACTGCAAACTGGAGGTACCAAAAGTGACAAAAAGAACTCCCAAACTTAACCCATGGATTACAGACAGTATCATCCAGTCTGTAGAAAG